CGAACGGCGCCCACGATGTCATCGGCGCCTGGGTGACGCACTTCTGGACCCCGTCTGGCCTCTCCCCTGTCCACGGCTCCTTCCTCCCGGGGATACTGCTCCTGCCTCCCGGAGACAGCGCTCCTCCCTGCTGGGGATCACCGGGACATTCACGCCCGTCCCCAGGTCGCAGCACAGCGACCCAGCTTTCTACGGTTGGCGGATGTTGTCTTCATTCGCCACGACGCCTTGACGAGGGTCATGCGGCACGGGGACAGGTGTCCTCCGTCCTCCCATGGCCCGCCCCCCACCCTCCGTTGGGGATGCCCTCGCCCTCGTTGGGGCCCTCGTCTGCGGCCCCGCCCTCCTCGGCCCCTGTGGTGCTTCTTCCTGGACGCGAGGATTGTGTCCATGGTTGAATTCTGGGGGGGCTTGTGTAGTGATTGACATAATTCACTCATGGAACTACGGGTTGGGGATATTGTTCTGCACGGACATATATGTTGACTGTACGTGTGTGACCTCCTTTCTTCTCTTCCCGGGCTTCAAGCCGACAACATGTGTGTTTCTGATGCTCAATAAAGCTAACTTTATACCTTCGATACGCCGCCTCCGACTCCCGTCTCTCGGCATTACATTATACTGTTAATGTTACTGTTTTACCTTTACCAAACTATTAGACTCACTGTCTTCGCTTTCATTCATTTCTATTTGTTGCCAGTCTACCTCAAACACACAACCAGACACATTCACTAAGTTACAGCCACACCTAGCATAATGCTAATGGTTGTATTAACAGTGGAATACTGCAGCTTGATTGCCAAAGGGACGACCCAGCTTAAACTGTGACATTAGCCTTTAATTCAATACGTGTTGTGCCTAAGGTTACTCAAAATCACATTTTGAAGACTTTGAAGAACTTTTTTTTAAAAGATAAGGTAGGTAAGTGAGATGCAAAAATTAAACTGTACTGACCTCGGAGTCCACATTAGCTGTAGCATAATCACCGTCATTAAGCTAACAGTAGGCTGCAGTTCCACCTAAGGGACACTAGGTGGCGCCGAACAAACGGTCAACTGGATCCTCTCACCCAGGAAGAAGAACCAGGTACGTTAGGGCAGGGGTTCCCTAATGCCCCTTTCACACCAGCGCTTTTTCAGCTCCGGCTCGGAGCTGGAGCCTGAAAAGCGCCGGTTTTTCCTGTTCACACCGCAGCGGCGCCGGCTCTTAGCTCCAGAATCCGGTTCACTTCCAGCTCCAAAAAATTGTCGGTCTAGAGGCAAGAGCTTCGGAGCTAAGAGGTGGCGTCGCTTACGTCTCTCTTACGTCGAGGCGTGCAGGAAACTAAACCCACCTCCCCTGAACATGGGTCGACTGTCATGCCTGCCTACAAGCAGTAGTGCTTATAAACACACTTTATAAAGTCAGGCAACACTAACCAGGCTTCGTGTGATTCTGTTTATTTGTACCTTACTTTGACCATCCGTTCACTGTTATTGATCATTGTGGAGAGAGGCAGACGTTTTGTTTTGTATTGTAGCAGCTATCGGATGGAATCAATACATGGGCTGCACAGGTTGTCGTGTCCGACTATCACAAGTAGAATCATAATAAAAATACGCCGGTAAAATGTGCCTGTAGAAAACGGTTTATGCCACAATAGGATAGCAATAGCAAGTAGTCAGTTTAGCTACGGTTGCTATGCTAACATCACCCATTTTATACCAGAGAAACTTTCATAACAGCGTTGTGATGCCAAACAGCGTCAATTCAGACTGACACACATTCACTTAGGCTAAGGGGAACTGGGGATATGTATCAGCTGCTTGTGTGAGTTGGACAGTGAATACTTTAGAGCGGCCGCTGCAATGTGAGCTAACCGGGAGCTAACGGGAGAAGAAACTCCCGTGGAAGAGCAGCCAGCACTGCAGCGGTCGGTAAATGCTGCAGAAACACATTAATAAACAATGAGCCACGGCACTCTGGAGAAAAGCATAAGGTTGGAGAAGTCGTTATTTAATTTAATCTGGCTTCGTGTGATTAAAAGCAACACGATCATCGACCCGACACAGTTGTTGTTGTTGTGAGCGCCGTAACGCCGTTGGGGAGCAAATCAGCGATGTAAACGGTGACGTCATGACGCAGCAGCGGCAGCACCAGTCGGGTGCTGGGCGGTGTGAACAGAGCGGGAGCAGAAAAGGGAAACCGGAGCTGAACCAGAAAAGCTCTAGCTCGGAGCTAGAAAGGGAAAAGCGCTTGTGTGAAAGCCGCAAAAGTGGGGGTCGCCAGATGATTACAAGGGTCATTCCAGAATTGGAGGACATTTCATGTTCCCCATATAAAAAATCTAATAATCCATGCTAAAACATGCACATGTTGTGTTAAACATACTTGTCTTGAGACAAAATGTATATAGAGTTGTAGAAAAAGTGGTTTCAAAATATTATTTAAATTATCAAATAGCTCTCGAACATCCCCTAAAATGGCATTTTTCTCTTGTCCCCGCTTCTTGGTGACCAACTTGCATGTCAAATATAACATTTAAAATAGGGATTTTATTTACTTTTTTTGGTATTATTCTATTGATATATGTCTCTTGTAATGGTAAAATCAATTTGTTAAATCATAAACATATTTTAAATAACAGTAATTTTGCACAGAAGGTGTGTCCCTCAACATGCGTTCAACACTATGGTTCAACCCTGTTACCCAAACCTTTTTAGATTGGCACAGGAAGTGAACAAACTGTAAATCAGATGACACAGTGGAAGTGACATCAGCAAGCCATGTGCTAGTGCCATGGGTAGACCAAAACTAAGTCCTCTCTTTTATTTTTCATATTTTTACAATCTTTTCAGTCTTAAAAGAGTGGCACTCTGACCCACTCAACCCTGTTACTGATATTATCTGAATAAAGCTTATTAATTTAAAAGTTATCTTTCTTGCATTAGATATCCAAGTTTGGCCTTGCCTTGAAAGTAGCATTACATGCTACATCTAGCAATAATTCCTGAGGTTAAAGCTCAAATTAGCATTGATTTTCAACCCTGTTACTTTCAACCCTGTTACTATAATTAGAGGGGTAATTCTTCATTGGAAAATATAGATTTGATGCCTAGCTGGGCAAATCACTTTTTTTGATGGTTTATTATCTGTTTTTCCTAAATACATAAAAAAAAATAATAAAATAAAAGGTTCATTTTTCAAAAATGTTGGTGTCTAAATTGTCCTCCAATTCTGGAATGACCCACAAATTGAAAATTAAAAATATATTTTAATTTTTTTTTTTTTAAATTCAAAATTATTATTTATAATAACGTGTGCATAGACATTTCTCAGGGGCGGACTGGTCACCTGTCGAATTTTCCCACAGCGAGGCTCCCCCCGTTGAATTTCCACAAGCGCACAAGACTAGTTATTCAGGCTTTATTTAAAATTTAAAAGAGCAAGTAGCGAGAGTCGTCTGTTCCTCAACAGAGCCTCCAGAGTGGTGATAGTCTGCGGCCTTTGTACTCCTCCCCAGCAGGTGTGCGCCGGCTGTGCGCTGCGATTGGACGACGTCAATCCAATCACCATCTTCAGAGGCGGACCAGGATATGGGCAGCTAATGATGTTGGCACAACCACACAGCTCATTTACCTAATCACACACAGTTGAAAACACTCACAGGCAGATTAATGAGCAGACAAACAGCAACCGTAACAGTGTGCATAGACAGGGGCGGACTGGCCACCTGTCGAATTTTCCCACAGCGAGGCTCCCCCCGTTGAATTTCCACTAGCGCACAAGATTAGTTATTCAAGCTTTATTTAATCCTGCCTATTTTCCATTTTGTATTGTTTCATAACTTTTATTTACAAATTGATTTGACAATGTTAAACAGATAATATTATTGCATATACATGAGGTATTAACAAACAATCAAGGTTGTGCATGTTCAGATAGATCAATACGACCATGAATTGTTGAGATCTGCAGACAGATAATCTCATGTTACAATGATTAGTTTGTCTACTGCGATACTCACCTGTAGGCCTACAGCCACATGTTTGTCTGTCCTCAGGTGAACTTTTAGGATCACCTCAGATTACGTCTCTGATCTGTTTTTGTAATGACTGAAGACAGTTAAGGGTGTGTCACAGAATTCTGATCTATAATTAGTGTATACACGCAGCCAGACAATAGCAAGTGGTGTTATTTTTTGCTGTTTGAATTTACAGCACAAACATGTGAACAATGTTGTCAGACTTACCTTGATAACGCGGTACCTCCTCCTTACAGTTGAGAGTCTAGTAGTTACTTTGAAAAACGATATATTACATGTAAAGCATAATATTAGTGTTTACAATAAGATGCATTATTAGAGGAGAACTTCCCAATAGTATAAAACATTAAAATGTTACATACATAACAATGCATCAGTAATAATAATCCAACTATACACCCGGACAGCTCTGTGCACTTAATTTATTTGGATCGTTCACAACATTTAGCTGCTCATACAAGGATTTAAGGATCATTTATTATCATTGAGGATCACAGGGTTGCTAAATGAAATGAGGTTGTAGTTCATTCATGACTCGAGAACAACATAAACAGTAGTGCATTCCTGTTGTGCATTCTTTTCATTTACATCAGGAGGAATGTAAACCGCACAAATAGAAAAGAACGGTGAATTATCAGTAAAGAATCTGCATCTCAACATTGTGACAACAGGGAAATATTGTCCATTAACTATGATGTTTGAATGTTTAAGCACCAAGCATCAGTGATTGCTTTTATTAATATAATGTATCCCTAAACTTCCACCACTGCTACTCAGCAAGATATATAATGTAAAATGTTTTGTTGAGATTAAACATGTTAGCCTTCATTTATGCTGCCACTGTACATCCTGCAAGGGTGCTGTAACCTGCAGAACCTGTTTGAGGCGTGATTTGGTTTGCAGATACAAGACAAGGGATCCATTGTGACACACATTTAAAAACAACACAGACAACATGCAAATCTTTAAGAAGTCCCCCGAGCTCCATCATTAAATACATTTAAAAACCGGTTGTACAAACATGTACATCCAATGGCCTGAAATGTTGACTTCGTTTCATCCCTGCTCTGACTCTCAGAGGGAGAACCACTGTCAGGTGATTTCCAGGCCGAGCCCAAACCTCACCTGTGATGGAATGATCCAACTGTCACATTTAACAACATGTGACCTGCGTGCAGCACTGACACACCCACAATCTTTATTTCATACGACGCCTTATAAATACCATCTGAACACACACATTACGCACAAATATTTTTTATTTCCACACCAGGTATGTATGGGAATAGCAGCATTGTTGCTTATTTGTAATAACTGCTGGGAAGCTTTATAATTCTCCAAATGTTTTGTTTCCCCAGGAAAATACCTTCTGCTCCATTGCATTTACTACAAAGACAAAATGTGTGATCGTAAGTCTCTTTAAGTAATTGTTACAGTTTTGATTCATTTGTAAGAATGCTTTGGAGTTGTTTTGTAATTAATAACATGTTTTTAACAAAAACTAATTGTATTTGTTTTTTGTCTTTCCATCACAGACGAGAACAAGGTGAGTTTATTTTCTCACAGTGCAATAGGCCTATTACTAACGGCATGAAAACATGTGTACTTATGAAGTGTTTCCCTCATCTAGACCGAGAATGAAGAGGGAAACGAGGAAGGATGCAAAGGAGGTGAAAAGGTAAGACCAGAGCCATATTCTCTCTATATGGCGCTGGGTAAGACATTTTAGAACTTAATGTGTGCTTTAAACTGGGCTGCCCCTCTTGCTGATTCAGTCATTTTAAAATGCTTGTATCGACTTCCCATTAACCAGCGAGAAAAGGAACATGGAAGAGGAGGAGGACATGGAAGAGGAGGAGGAGGAGGAGGAGGAGGAGGAGGAGGAGAACATGGAAGAGGAGAAAAAGGAGAAGAACAGAGAAAAGGATGTGGAAAATGAGGAGAACATGGAAGAGGACCTAAGAATTAAGAGCAGAATTCCTAAAACTTCCATTCTGCGATAATGCTTGTAAATAATGAAATACATTATTCAATAAATCAATTCAGAAAAAATACTGGTTTGCTGTTATTTACATAAATGAAATGTTGGGGGAAGACTTCAATACTTTATATTCATGAGAAACATATGAAATTATCTCTGTAATTTGATAGTGGTAAACACACACAGTGGACAGGCTGGAGTTTCCCTGAGGAATATTATGATGTGGGTTTGTATTGAATGTTTGAGCTATGACAACATTATGAGAACCTCTGCGTAGAATAAGCACATTGAGTCAGGATGACTGCATAGAAACCAAACCATTTTAACACCAATATTAAATTGAAACATTATGATATGTACATAGACACAACAGAAAACACACTATTATGTTTAAGTTAAATTAACCCTAATACTCAGATACAGAAATATAAGTTACTCTAGTAATCATTTAAAATCATTATGATGTCAGGTTAAAGCAAAAAGGCAGACAAATCCGTTTTACTGTTGGCGCCCTTGATTTGGTGAAAATTAATTTCTGTTTAATTATATTATAACATGTCATTATACCTTTTTGGGAAATGTGAGTGTGCTCAGTAAATGTCCTTACGAAATGCCTTATTAGATTTTGTAAACATTTCGGAGTCTAAGTAAATACAGGTAATTTTGTATATAATATCAAAGGCTATGATAAAGAACAATTTCAACAAACACTGTAAGGGCATCAAGGATGTTTCTGCTTCATTTTCAAATTGTGAGCTCTTTTCTAAAGAGGGGACTTATGTAAGTTATAAGGGTAATTAATAATAAAACATTGTCAGTGCACATAGGCCTACAATGGGATCTGGAGTGCCTGCCAACCCACATAACATAACTTAATCGGTTTATTGTGGGCTGCCTTGGTCAAAAAACATGGGGTTAGATAACAGCTCCCCTTCCTCCTGTATGTCATATGCAGACTTTATACGATAGCCCATACTGGTGTCCATTCATTTATCTCCAACCACGGCATGAGAAATATATGCAATTATTTTCCTAAAACTACTCAGAGCAGACTGGGTCCAAAGAAACAGGCACTCTAACAGGGCGTTTCAGACAGTGTTAATACAGGTATATCCTGACAGAGTACCACATAAACAATGGGTTTTGAACATTAAAGCATTTCAAGTATAAACTATGAATAAAACTATGAACCTAAATGATATCCTCTTTAATGGAATAGTTTGCTATTTTGGGACATTTGCTTATCAGTTTCTTGTAAAGAGTTATATAACCTACCAATCTCATATGTAGACTATATATTTGCTAAAAACAAAGCTGCTACCAGCAGCCAGTTAGCCTAGCCTAGCATTAGGACAGCTTGGTTTGTTAACAGGTAACAAAATCAACCAGTCATTACAACTTACTGTAGAGGAAACTTCTGTGTAGCATGCAATGGAGTCACCGACTCAGGAAGGAGACACGGGAAGAGTCGGAGCTTTGATGTCAAACCACTGTGATTTATTTGGAGTTGGTACCAGAGTATTCACATCACAAATCCAAGAGTCAGAGGTTCCGACTCCACGGTAGAGTTGCCACGTCAATTCTGGAGAGCCTCTCTCTTGCCAGCCCATCTAACTGGTTTCGCAGAGTAAACAACATATTTGAGAAGATAGCCTAAACAGTGTGGGAACACAGAGCTACTTGCGTCGGACACTTATGACCTCGAAGATTTTACCTTGGAGTCCACAAATACAGAGAAGGAAGTGTCCCAGTGTACCCACAACACAGACCATCTGTATCCCAGTATTGACCGGTCACAGAATGGGAACAATAACATTATTGGCTAAGCCGCCTGTGTCCTTAAAGAAGGTAAACAGACATCAAGGTTTGTCCTGTATGTTACAAATTGGCGTCTTATGATAATTATTTCCATAACACTTACTATTAATCATGAATGAGAACGTTTTATCTTGTGTGTTTTATTCCATACAAAATAGTTGGAAGTTATGCTATTTGAAAGCTGTAGCTTCAAATTTGCCCTAGAGAGAGTTATCAATATTGTTATCTTAATCGTGGCAACAACAAAAAATACTCCTTTTGTCAATGTTGTGCATATTCCAGAATGACTTTTCAATGAAATGATGCACTGAGGCACAGTTGCAAGGTATTCCAGCACAGAAAACATAAGAGGAAATGGAGAGAAAATAGGAAAAAGTGGGAGGAAATGACATGAGTAGCAGAATGTTTCCAGATGATTTTGATTGGGCAAGCTTCATCACTCTGTTCACTCCTCTGCTCTCAGGTGTACGTGCAGATCCTTCATTGAATGTTTTAAAGGGTGGATCTTTCAGTCACTCTCAGAAAGAAAAACACCGTTGTTTTCCAGGGCGAACCCAATTCTGTATATCATGCAGTCAAATTTTAGAACATGAGATCTGCTGCTGTCCCAACACATTCATCTCATACAACATCTTGTAAATACAGACTGAACACACCCAACAGATGTAGATAAATATTATGTCTGCTCCACACAGCAAATTTGAAATCAAAAATTCAACACCCATGTAGTTAATTTTAACTATGAAAGAGTTTATATTGAAACCACCAGCAAAGTGTTAAATTAACACTTTCCAAAGTGTTGACAATATAACACTATCACAGTGTTACTATACCAACACTAAGAGTGTAAGATGTGAACACCAACACTGAACACCAACGCCGATAACACTAACAGTGTTGGCTGCATCTTCAATTCAACACTGTCCTGGTGTAGAGTAAGACTACAGTAGTGATACATCTTCTCCATCTAACACCTTTGAGAGTTAAACATGTACACTAATAGTGTTGAATGTTACACTGTCCTGGTTAACACTACAGTAGTGATACATCTTCTTCCATATAACACCTTTGAGAGTTAAACATGTACACTGATAGTGTTGAATGTTACACTGTCCTGGTGTAGAGTAACACTACAGTAGTGATACATCTTCTCCCATATAACACCTTTAAGAGTTAGAAATGTACACTGAGCTAGTGTTGAATGCACATTATACTGGTGTTGCATTTTGCATTAGCCTCAACGCCTCTGGGAGTTCAAAATGAACACTAATCTAATGTCAATGTTGTGTATTGGTATTATGATGTACAACAAAACTGGTGTTAAAAGTTACAATGACCAATAAATCATTCCAGATAACATATATGCCAAGTGCTTTATTTGAATGGTGGCATGTCTCTTAAGGCGAGACACCCCAGGTGAATAGGGTAATTTTTTTAACTTAAAGGTATCAGCTAGACATTTCTCCAGTTAATTACTTACAATAAGGCAATTGTCTTTTGTATTACCAGTTTTCTGAAATAGCATGTTTAAATATGCAAATTCCCCATTACCTCATTAAATATGCACATATTTTAACACATTTCAGGAATCGAAATCTGAACTTTGGATATAGCCAGATTCAAAATTCTTGTTTCATTTTGTAGTCATATTAGTATCTAAGGCTTTTAAAGAAGGAATATTGGATATCTCTTTTTATCACTCCATAAATCAGAAAATACTGTCAACAGCCCTAAAATATCCATTTTCGCCATGTTTTTAGGTATACAATGTTGTATAATTCAGGCTATGAATTATATATGAACAAACCCTTCTGTAAAAGCCTTCATAATATTGATGGGAATATAACTGGAAGGTTTGGTGTATGTACGTGCTACTGAAGTTGAAATTTCAAACTCAGAGTAGGAGAAAAAACTCATTTTGAGAAAACGACCTTTAAAGATTGTAGTGAGGCGCTAGCTAAACCCTCCTGTTCTCTGGATGACAGCTTGCGCATCGACGCACTCCGTGAAGGTATTTCATGTTTAGGGTCATTTTTTTATTTTATAACCTTGCTTCGTGCAAGTGACAATTGTTGTCGTCTTCTCTGTGAATGTTTTTTTCGCGGTTCTTTTGGAATTTCAATTTCTAGCTGAAAGCTAACCAGGAAGTGTTTTAGCACACCGCGTGACGCATCTGAACGAATCACGTTGTCAGAAATTGACACCAGCCAATGAGATTTTGTTTCTTGGTTTAAGACCCCTTTGTGCTTTCACGATTGGTTGCTGATACAAAGGAAATGACCATATTTGGATCCGATGAGATTGTGCAGGAGACACAGCTTTCCAGCGATACCTCTGTTGACATGGTGCACACAGCGGTCGCGGTACTTTATGTTACGTTAGAATGCTAACTTTTGGTGAATTTAGGAGAAATCTACAGACGCAAATAGACAAACTATAGTAAAATAAACACTTAAATGTGTATTTTGTACGTTTTCCTTCCAAAAGCCTGAAAGAAAACATGTTATGGAATCAAAATAGCACAAAATCTCTAAATTGACCAGTACTTGAAAAACGATGTTTTTGCCTGCCGTGTCTCGCCTTAAGACTGACAAATGTTCACAATGCACAAATTCTCACAATATGCAATTCAACAAATAAAAAAATAACCCTCTATGACAGTGGATGTCCGAAAAGCTTCTTGTCGATCAGAATGAAGAAGTTGCCGACGGCCTCCTTGCTGGTCCCTGAAGCAAGAAGATATGGCTGGCTCGTGTCCATATGGCTCTGAAGGTGCTCGTCCAGACTCCTACAGGACTGAAGGACAAGGCAAGCTACATTTTAATTTTACATGGCTAACTATGCGCATGTGTGTTTTTAGGAATAGTTTATATTTGCACTAGCCTAGTCCTACTTTATCATAGTGACAGCTCTCTGTAGTAGTTCTGGTGGCTAGATCTAACATTCTTAAACCTGCCACATACCTTGTGAAATACGACCAGATGGTCAATGGCCTGAGCTACACTGATCTTCTGGGTTTTCTTCCTTCCCGCAGGCTGGGGTGACAGGAGGTGCAGAAGGAGGAGAATGGATGCCATATCACTGTCCCACTCTGTAAGAAAAGAGAACAATGATCAACTTCTTTTTTTTACCCATCTGTATAATGTCCAACAGTTCATAGTGCCTGTACGAGCAAAATACAAGACATGAAGTCTCACAACACAATAAAGTATGGAAAAAGTGAAGTGGCCTGAATACTTTCCAAACCCACTAA